AGAGAGAGAGAGAGAGAGAGAGAGAGAGAAGAGAGAGCTAAGTATCTAAATACAGTATTATATCTGACTCCTCTACTCTTCCCGTGCGATCTCTGCCGCGAGCTCCGAGGGCAAACAAACCCCTAAAAATAATCGCGAGTTTTCCCCCACTACCTAGTCAACTCCCTTCCGCGTCGCTCTTTCGCTTCTTTCTGAGCTTTTTGCTCCTTCCGCCTTGAGGGAAGGCGAAGTCGATGGGTGGAGGTGACCCACCTCCTTGTGCAGCCCGAGGGAAGAAAGACTGCGGGTGCCGTCGGGTGGACGGAGGGAGCGGGAGGGAAGAAGTGGCGGTGGCGAGGCGAGTCGGAAAAGCGGGAAGAAAGAGCGAGGGACGACCACCTTCGCCTCTCCAGTATTTCAGATAAGAATAAAGTAAACGGCGAATGGGGTTGCCGGAGGGGTGGCTGCTGCAGCGCAGGGGCTCGGCGGGGTGAGTTGCTACGGACGGGAGGGCACGGCGGGGTTGATGCTTCTCAGACCGGGCCGTATCAAAGCGAAAGGGGAAAAGGCAAAAAGTACGACGATCGATGCTACCGGCCACGCGGAATACAATGAAGACGCTCCGCTTCGGTTTTCTGTCTCTCCGCTCGCGAATCCGCGTTTCTCAAGGCGGTCGGGAACGTAGCAAATGTATCATTTAGAAAATCTTCTGCATGTATGCATGTCAATAAGGTCGATGATGTTTACGTAACATTAAAAAACACTTATAACTTGTTACTCGCACACATTATCATTGAATGTGATTGTATATTTAGACAGATTATTAAGATAGTTATTTTTTGCTAATTGCGTATTCTAATTGCACTATAGTTTTTATTTTTTGAATAATAATTATTTAAGTATTGCAAATTATACATTATCGTAATGTCAATAAATAATAACAGTATGTAACCTAATCACCTGAGACATTTTTTTCAACACTAGCACTATTTAAATTGGTTATGAAATATGATGACGTCAATAATTCTTGATCTCTTGATCTTCTAGAAAATTACTTTACGCCCGAAGCGTTTCGAGTTGCAGCGCTCTTTTCTATTTTTTTTCTTTTTAAGAAACGAACAATGAGAGCGGCGAAGGAGCGCGCCGGTATTTTACGATCAAACTACAGCGTAATTACTTAATAACGCGATCGGTACGGGCGGAGAAAAGTTCGCCTCGTTATAAGTTCGCCGTAATTTTCGTTACTACTAACTGAAAAAACGATGACCGTCGTGCTTTTTTGTACCCCTTTCAACGGGCCGTCGCCTATCCTCACCGCCACCGCCGTCGTCGCCGCTGCCGCTGCCGCTCATGGGGTTGGTTGAGCATAATAGAGGCGAATAGGGCGGTGGGATGAATTTCCTAATTAAAACTCGCGCGAAACTATTTAAAACTTAAAAAGGAACGAAGCTAGACCCAAAGCAACTCGGGCCCCATTATCGCCCACGCCAGAGGAACTTCGGCAAATTATAAATTTCATCGGACCTGCCTCTCTCGTTCCACGGCGAATCTCACTCCGTCCATCTCCCTCTCTCCCACCTTTTCTCACCGCTTATCCTCGCGCTCGATTCCTAACTATCTGATCGATTTCGCGACCGGACATAATTGGAAATTGATTTTTTTCCTTCACATTTGTCGTTTTAATTAGGAATAAACACCGGCGAAAATGAGATTCGGGCTGTTAACACCGATATTAACGCCGAAATTAATATTTCCGCGACGCAAAATTATTGAACTGCAATGCCGCAAATTCATTTATGAAAATTACGTTCGTAACAACGTTTCTCACGCATTTGAAATTTTCACACAGCCGCTGCATCTTTAATTCGTAATTACCGACCAAATTGGTTCTATCAACCTTGATAATTGAAAATGTTCGTGCCGCGAGCGCTCGATACTTCAGACACGACGAAAAATCGCTTCGCCTTTCGTAACAATTAGTCGTATTAAAGCCTCGATTGCTCCTTTTCCCTCTGCGCAGAGGCAGCGGCAATCGAGGAAGTACCTCGTTCCTTACGAATCCTCTTTATTCTTTTCTCTCCGCTTTTCCATTGTACGAACGCGTTTCTAGCCGAGACTTACTTTAACGGCCTTTGGCGTGCCGACGCAATTAGAAACGCTGCTTTTAAGCTAGGTCATAGATTTTTCCGCATAGCTACCCTGCTTAAAACCGGAAAATTTAAGGGCACTATATAAGCTACTTGACGTATCTGCTTGTTTGCCCAATTCTCTAAGAGCCATTTTCACTTGGTCTCCGATCTCTTTTTATTTTTTATTTTACTCGTGCAATTGTCTCTTAAACATTTTATCCATGTTGTAAATATTCTGTTAATTGATGCATTCTGTACTTCATTTCTTAATTTAATTTCGTCTTTTTCTGGATTACGAGTAGTAGTTCTCTACCGCATCGGCTTCGTGGAAACTACAGCTCGTGCCATCTGCTACACGTTGGCTATATTTGAGAGCGCAATATCGATTTTCTTGATTTGCACAAGACGATTCCCTCTTTATCAACAATGGAAAAATGATAGAGGGCAGTATGCGGAGAAAACACTCATTGTTAGATTTTTTTATAATTATTTACATATTCATATTTATCATTTATTTTCAGTTTATTTCGAAGTGAGAGTTATATTGAGAAATTTTTCTAAGATAGTTGCACATGATATTTAATTACATCAACGCTTGCTATTTTACAAACAAATTAGTTTTCAATGCAAAAAGCATTAATTTTCGCTCTCAAAGTTAATTTATGAAATATAGTTAAAGTGACTTTTCAAAACAAGGAAAGCTTATTTCGAAATTTATAAATGTGTTTAATGCTAAAACGGAGCTTGCAAAATTTAAAGTAAGATTGCAGAATAGAAACATGTTTAGTCTTTTGATTAAACTGTTCGTTTAATAATGATACGTTCGTCATTTAATTGGGCGGTAAATTTTTAAAGATGCTTTTATGTAGCATGCTAATTCGGCATTTTGTATTAATAATCTGTTCTATAGTGCGCTATATTATATTCATTCCCGATATAATATCGCGCAACGTTGATGCGATATAATTCATGATAACTTGATTACGCGCAGCAAGTAAATGCAATATTGCAAGAGCATCTCACATCGCATTCCGAAGCGACGACGTTCGTGACATCATGCAAATTAATTGACGATCAAAAATGTGATTTTCCTCTTGAACGATTAAAAAATAATTTCCTGAAACAATCACAATGGCGATTTAAGAAGAGCGTTTGCAACGAGTTTTCATTCGCGAGATGATAAATGCAACATGGCAAAAGTTCTTGCGAAATTAATTAACGGTATAAAATAGAAATCAAGAGGCGGTAACATCACAAGGAAGCTTTCGCAAAGTTCAAAATGGTTGTTTAGACGAAAGTGCGCATCGTAGAGTTTTCGGCGTGGAAACTCGAGAAGAGGGAGTGAGTGCTCCGGCAACCATTGCTAAGGGTTCTCATAAAAATTTCACCCCCTCTCTCGATCTTTCCAGGCGAGTGTCCTTCTTTCTCTGCCCTTCGGCCCTCGGGCGCGCTCTTACTTGCTCCTCTAAGCACGGCTAATTCAAAATGGCGTCACCGCCCCTATATCATTCGCAACCCTCTCTTGCCTTCGCGTCACCCCTCGTCCACCACTTCGACCCTAGGCAAAACGGCGCGTCAGGGGTGGGGCCGCCGAACTATGGCGCCCCGTACACCCTACGCCGCGAGCACGTCTCGAAACTCGACCAACAAATTGAAATCCCGCATTTTCCGTGGGCCTAAGCCTAGCTCGAGCCCTCGGCAACTTTGTACGGTTTATCGCAAGGCTTCGTACTAACCCTCGGCCCGGCGATATTTTTGGGTAAATTCGGAAAGAACGTTAGCCAGCTCCCTTAGGGACCAGCAATTTCTCGGAAACTAACAGCATTAAGATTATCGCGTCAGAATCTCATATATTTCGAGATTATGTATTATACATTACGGGTTGTAAAGAGAAGTCGATGACCCAACGAGTAATGTAAAACATATACACTCTGACACTGATAGCGGTGATTAATTATTGATCCGCTCTGTTCAAATTTAGTTTTTCTACTATTGCGAAATTAATCGGTTCCTTGATAAGAAGATGTTGGAAATGATTATACTCGTTGCAGCAAATGTAGCATCTTGAATATTTAAACTCATGACCATTATTGGGGTGATAATAAAATTCGAAAAAGCATATCTTATTTTACACGTTACCGAAAAGAGAGAAATAAATTTCTCTATTTTTCGGGAATAAATTGCTTGTCGATAATAATATATAATTGTTTAATATCTATTAGCCCGATTAGAAGCGTGGTGATTGGAGTGAGATTAATTATACAGTATAAAATAAATGGATTCGCAGTGCATCCACGCACATATAATTAGCTCAGTTCAGCGATACAGCAAACGATGCAAAATTTATCGCTTATATAAGTTTATTGACGTAAAATGTGATACGTAAAATATATGACTTTTTTGTTTTTGCGCGACACTCTCTTTGGAGCTTGATATCAATTGTTTTTGCTCTAAATAAATTTATCATCCATAATATTTCTTAATACAACGAAAGATTTTTCCCGGAAAAGCTCGGAGCCGCGAAGAATTTTCCGACGGACTGTCAACTGTCCGTTCGGAAAACCGAGGTGAACGGAATTGGTTTGCCCGGCACAGGGTGACAAAAGGGTGGCGGGGGTTTTCGGAGGGAGCGGAGAGGGATAGTTTGGTGCGTCGGAATGCGAATTCGGACAACGAGGGGGCGAGAACGGGTGGCGAGGACGTTCGTTCGCGCGTCCGTCCCGCAAATTTCGACGACCACCGAGATTTCGGTGTCGCCGTCCATATAATCGCCGTGCTCCGAATTCCGACAGCGAGATAGTTAGGGCACTTGTGGCCTACGGCGAACTTTTGCATCTTCTTGCGATTTTTCAGTCTTTCTCCCTCATGTCGCGACCGAGTCGGCATATTTCGCGAAATTGCGACCGAAATTGCATTAAATCCGATGCGGTGGCGATGGTCGATTGATGGTGTCGCGTGCCGCGGTATCGTCGGTGTTTCGCGACTCACGTGATTATGCCGTCCGTCAACCGCATCGAATATAAAATCATATCGCTCGTTCCGAATTCATGAGGTTTTGGTAATCGCGGGATAGCGCGACGACGAAGTGTACCTCTGAACCGCATATTTCGCGCAAACCGATAATTTTGGAAATTCTCATTTCAATGCCCTCGCTAAATGTTATATTTAGACAAATTTTATCATTTTTGTTTATAAAGTATTTTGATCACAAATTTCTATAGTAATTAATGTTAAACAATTGTTTTTTACAATGAGTTTAGTAAATATATATATATTTTTTAATATATTTTATTTTACATTGTCGGAGCCTATTATTATTACTTTTCTTATACGAACATATTTTGTGTGAGCGAATAATATAAAATATTAGATTATTTCAAAATACGCAATGTTATTTACCAGTTATTCGTATTTTACGCATTGTATTTTATTCGTCGCGAAAAAGTTCCGTTTATCAATAAACGAGCTTTAAATTCACATTGATATGAATGCGGCGGGGACTAGATTCAATATTGACATAATGAAAATTTAACACGCGTCTAATGTTTGCGCAGTTAACAAATATCAAATAGTATGATTAAACGAAATGTAATTAATGTAATTGGAAATCGATGATGATAGCGTAACGTGACGATAGTGTCTCTCTCTTCTTGACAGTGTAGCGATTAGGAACGGAAAAATCTGCAAGTCACGTTGCATGTGCGCGTTTATTCGGACGCAATAATTTCGATTAATATCAATTAACGAAATTTAGGAATTTGGTATAGCATTTGTATGTGCGCTTGCGGTCGCATCTCGTGTGTGTGTGTGTGTGTGTGTGTGTGTGTGTGTATACGCGCGCGATTACCTGGCTATTATTTGACGCTGTTTCATTCATCAAGAGGTATTCGTAGTTCAATTTGACGCTGAAATAGATTCGACGCAAACAGAGTATCCAAAGTGTATCAGAATCTCGACGGAGGTAGGTAATGCACACTAATGCACCCCGAGATTGCGGCGCGTTCGTTGAATGTAACGCGAATTTTTCCGCGGCTCGCGTCCAACTGACCTCACTCTTATTTTTCAGCCTCGTTCTCTCCTTTCTCACCGACCTCCCTGCCCTTTGACCACCCCACTTTCATCTCGGTCGCGGATTTTTACGATTCTGCGCATGGAAAAATTCGCCTTTTTCCAAGCTGTCGAAGAGACTGCGCACTAAGTGCGATAACGATTCTTTCCTCATACATTCTTACAAATATAACACACTAGCGACACCGTGGGATTTTTATTAACAAGAAATAAACTCTGCTTTTAAAAGCTGCTGATGTTAGCTTGCAAAAAAAAAAAAATTATAAAAGTCTCGCTAACAAGTATTTATAAAGAATGATTGCAAAAGGTTTACACGAAAAGTTCATTTATTGATAAGTGCTGCTACTAATAGCTCGGTTAGAACAAGAATAAATCTGAAACACGATATGCACTCTAAAATTATCTCTAACTAATAATGCGCTAACCAACTGACGTGCCGGCGTCGCGCATCTTTTTTTGTGACAATTAAATAATGAAAGTTGACGGATTTAACGGCGTGACTCCGATTGGCGAATGAGGATGCATCATGCACGTATCTGTGCACCGTCCAATCAGCCGCAACGAAGCGCACAGCCGGTAAGGCTGCACGAAGGACGACTTCCCGCGCCGGAACTTCGGAAAGGGATTCCCGCGAGGAAGTCTAAAGGAGGCGCGCCGCCTTGAAGGAGGGCCGGAAGAGGGTCGGAGGAGAGAAATCGAGCCCCGCGAGGCCATAAATTCGCCGTTCGTTTCGAAATTCTCTCGCACCGACGAGACCCGTACACACGTTTACCCACACGTGCGCAGGGTGGGCATATAAATTCGCTTCGCGGAATAAGGATCGGCCCCTTTCAGACGTCGGGTGGCTGGCGTACTCGGGTGGGTGGATGGCGGCGGCGGTGCGGTGCGGCGGTGGTGTGGGTCTCGCGTCGGAGGTAGGTCGCGCGGGTAGGAGGGTGGGTGGCACCTTCTTGGATCAATAAATGATTTAACATTCACAAAATGGCGGGTGAGCCCCCGGCAGGGGCGGAGAAATAATATAATCTACCTTAGACTCTCTCTCTCGCCTTCCTTCCCACCCACCACCCCCGGTATCGTCGTGCCGGGGAGCCGCGCGGGGCTGCGCGGGGGTCTCGCCGGGCGGCTGAACGAGGGTGGGCACGTCCCCCTTTTCCAACTTACCTCCCTTCGCCCCGTACCCTCCCCGCATCGTCAGCAGACTCCTGCTAGAGAACTCCGGCAATACCTACGGTTCCGCATCTAACGGCGTTACCACGTAAGAGAGAGGACCTCGAGCGCGCAGCCGGCACGGAATCGGCGGGGATGTGACGCCGTGGATTTTGACTTTTCAGATTCCGCGAATAGTTACGAGACCACGTCGCTTTGCGCGCGCGATCACCGATTCGCGTAAGGACTGAACGTGCGCCGCACGTTTCCGAGTTAAGATTCCGGCGCGGAATGTCGTTGCGTCGCTATTAAAATACGAACGGGAAATTGGAGAGAGGCGAGCTTACACAAGTCGCAGGAGAATATGCATTCCAGCATATACATATAGAGTCTTTACGTAGAGAATAATTGATATTTTAATAATCAAGAGAGGTGGAAATTTTAAATGGAAATTATTTTTCTAAGCATGAAAGGATTTCAACTTTCGTGTCATAAAGAATCGGAATAAAATTCGCTGCTATGCGGAACTTGTAAAAACATTTTGTCGGCAGACGAACGTGTCGGCTCAGTCGAATATATTTCATCTTAATGGGAGTAGTAAAGTGGATTTTAAGAGAGAACGGCGGGTGGCGGCGGAAAGGTGCTCCGAGGCTGGCAGACGTGCAAGATCCCTAAATATTAAGGGGGCATTAACGTGGTCGGCCATTTTGCAACCCCTCGGAGCGAATATAAGCGAGCCTTCTCTAACGTATATTATTATATTATAAGGGGGTGCCAGGACGCCTCTCCCAAGATTATGGAAATCGCGGCGGGTATTAAGGGGGCGAGACGACGATGGTAGCAGGACGAAGACGAGTGGAGAGGTAGTGGAAAGGAACGCGAAACACATCCCGTACCCCCCTTCCTTCATCGTCGATTCTCCCGGCCAAACTCCTTCGAGATTGGACCGGGAAATTGATTTCGTGATATAATCCTTCGACTTCTTACGACTCCGTAAGCACGCGCGGTATAATTTATACGATGGCGGCATTTTACGACGGTTTACGTGATGCGTTTGACAATTCTGCTATCGGCTTGAAAAACTTGCTATCTTCAAACGATTACAGAAAGATAGATGAAATGGCACTTAACGACGATATAATTAGTTATTAAAGATTTTCTTTAGCAAAAGTTTCAAGTAGATATGTAGAAGGAAATGTCATATTTGTATTGTAAAAATGTTTTAAATTAGAATTTTTATAATAATTACAGTCAGTTGTTTCAACGATACAAACACTACTTTGCCATAATATTTATGCTTGTGTAAAAATTTTGAGATAAATTATAACGTTATATATGTAAGAGCGCAAACAAATTAATTCCAATGTCTAAATATAATTTTTTTAGAGTCAAATCGTTTGGAGATAGCGAAAAGCATGGAGAACACTTGGAATTATTCGCAAGATACATTTTTTAAGTAGTTTACGACAAATCTCTCTCTCTTATTAATTTATTTTTGAAACTTGCGGTTATGAGAAAGATTATATCGGATGAGACAAATCGAATAGGACGAATCTCGAAATTCGTACGGCGGTTGGTTCTGTCACATATCTTCATTAAGGGGGTGGTAACTGGCAGGACAGGAAGGTACTTAGTTCGCGGAGAGCGGCGAGGAGGGTAGGAAGGAGGTAGTAACTACCGTCGGAGAACCAGCTTCGGAGTTCCTCCAAGTTTGTTGTGTGAGAAAACAGGGACTGATTTGAATTTATATTACTTGGCCTCCCCTCTGAATACGTTCCCGGCTAAGGAAATTTCCATATATCTGAGAAAGCTCCGACGCCGAACCCGCAAAATGAATGCCCCTGCTGCCAAATTCGAGTTTTGGATATACCAGGACTTTGGTGAACGCGAATTCATCTCGTGGAGAACGACTTTTGTATATTTAACACGCCGTCTAGTCAGATTTGTCAAGACGACACAAAGGAAGAATTAATGCATTTAGTGAATTAATGGAGAATGCAATTCTACATTTTTGCACATGTAATTTATGTTATTCGAAACATTAGTAAATGCATCTTCTTGAGGAGATTTTAGCACTTTATTGTTTTGAAAATGAAATAAGAATTAAAACCTGTGACGTTGATTTCCATTGCTCTTAAAGATGCAAATTTTATAACTTTTTATCAATAACTTTTAACAAGTTTTAGAAAAAGAACTAATCTTTCTTTTGTAATTAGTAAAGATAGATGATATAAATAAGCATCTTTCGTTCTACTACATTGGCTAATTTCAACCGACTTTAATTGAGTGATTTTATAGTTTTCTTTTATCTTTTAAATTTTTAAAAATTGCAATATAAATGGACGGAAATAGAGATAAAAATTGAATAGAAAATGTAAAAAGAGTATTCATATTGTTTTCACAACAAATAATCGCGTGGGGAATGAGCTACAAAAAGTATCGAATGCGAAACATTTCGATTTGTTCTTCATTAATTATCCGTGCGGCACTTGGCACGTCGATGTAACTCGATCAAAAGGCGAGGCGGGAGACGGTTGAATGACACGCAAGCGGCGGAAAACATTGAGAAGCTCATTTAATTCACTGGCAACGCTTTTCTGTCTCTTTTTTCTCTGTCTTCCTCTCCTTCCGCCGGCGCTTAATTCTCGCTTAACCTCCGGGTTTTTACGCTAAATTTTCGTCGGTCTCACCCTCGTTACCGCAACCGACGGGGATGGGTTAGGTGGCCGGCTACGCGCTTAAGCACTTTTTAAACGTCCCGTATATTTATATCATCCCCGTTCGTGAGCCGTTTCGCTCGCTTCCATCCTTTCCTCTCGCACTCTCGCACGGAAAGCGGCGGGCACGAAACAATTAAAACATCGAAACGAGGGTCCGGGTATTCCGCGGCGAAACGTGTTTTCACACCACCGTCCTCGGCCCTTTTCACCCCCGCGAGCGTGGTTATATAATCCGGAATGGAAAAGAAGGTGCCGGGCGAATTCCCGTTTCGCGCACGGATTCCCATTTACCGTCGGATTTCGCACTGCCAGAAATGCTTTCACGATTCTTTTCACTTTTCGCTCATCTTTTCATGTGTTTTCAAATATCGCAAAGATAGTATAATATTTTCTACAAATAGTGTGTACGTGAAAAATGTATTATAATCACACTGCATCATTTTATATCACAGCATCAAGTTTTACGATACTTTACGAATTCATTAGTCCGATAATTGGTTATCGAGTTTCTTACAGCGTGAAATAGATTCACGGTTATTTTAAGCTTTAGCAACATTGAATCGCGAATAAGGATGTTTCCTCGGCTGGAAGCAACACAAGACTGGTCACTTCCGTATCTGAGATCTTAGCGACTCGCGGCGCGATTTCGACGAAAAACCTGTTAGACGCCTTGACCTCGGGGGTCGAGTCGCTGACCAGTCACGTGAGAATCGCAACTTGCGATGACCTGATGCGCGTTATGAAAACAGACTCGCTTTCCGTGGTCAGTGAATGTAGGACAGTTCGCAGGATTCCCACAGGACTGGTCCTGGCAACCTGCTGTTGCTTCGGCTACTCATACAGACCGCGAGAAGACGCCGACCAGTCACTGACCAGTCGTCGACTAGACAGTCAGTCGATGCTCCGAGGAATTAATGAATATAACCCCGACTGACCGGTGAGGGTCGAATCGAGATTGATCGAGAGATTT